CCTTGGGCAGAGAGAAGTGACATACTTCGGGTACCCGATAGGGTGGGGCCAGCGAAAACCCCAGTGGATAAGGTCCAGGCACTAACCGATGGTATGACCATGTCGACCAAGAAGCAGGTGCAACATTTCCTAGGCCAGGCTGGCTATTATAGGGGGTTTGTACCTGGCTTTGCCACAATAGTCGCACCCCCGCCTTACCGACCTAGTAAAAAGCACCCACCCCAGGAAGGTGCAATGGACAAAGGCATGTGACAGGGCCTTCAGAACTCTGAAGAACTGGCTAGCTCAGGGGCCAGTTCTCTTCCACCTCAATTTTTCAGAGCCTTTTATCCTTCAGACGGACATGTCAGAAGTAGGTCTTGCGACCATGTTGTCCCAAGAGGAAGGAGGTGAGAAACATTCAATATTGTATCTGGGTATGAAGCTATTCCTACAGGAGGAGATTGAAAAAGAGGCCCTGGCTGTGAAATGGACCATAGAGGACCTATACTATTATCTACTAGGGAACTCCTTCTTACTCTTCGCGGATCACGCCCCCCTCTACTTGCTAAATTCTATGAAGGACACCGATGACCGGGTTGAGATGGTACATCTCCTTGCAGCCTTATGACTTCCAGATGCTCAACTGCCTGGGAAGGGCACATGGAAAATGGATTTTTTTTCTCGGGAGGGAGGAGGAGAGCAGGAGAAAGGCCCATTGCTTCAACTAAATCCATTTAAAAACACTCCTTTAGTTAAATCAGTGCAAGTTGTGTGTAAACAAGGCCTGAGCTAAGAAAAGACATATGACTGGGTGATACTTCCATGCATTCAAAGAAGCTTTAGAAATGAAGCTGAGAAGGGACAGGATGCAGATGACCCCCAAGCTACTTAGGAGAGGACAATCCAAAAATACTGAATAGAACTGGAAACATACAATGGCTGTTGTATGAGAAACGAACATCCCAAGGAGAGGACACCTGTACAAATAGTAATTTCCCAAACAAGGCACTCTATGGGGAAAGTTAATGCAATCTAATACCTACTCAGTTCAAAGGGACTAGAATATGAGTGTTGTACACAACAAGGTAAGCATCTTTTGACTCTGATAGGCTGGACCACAGCTTGTCTGTAAGAGCAGTGGTCACTTTGACAGATCACAAGATGCCACACGAGGCATTATGCTACATACGTGAGTACCTTATTATCTGATTTCTCTTTCCTTACCTACAGGTCTGTATCTGTTTAAATTAGCTTTTACAGGTAATGCTAGGACTGCTTTGATACCATTTATATTATTTTATTATGATTTTTCTCTGTCTGATTCTAATGAACTTGGTTGCACTGAAGATCCCTGTGGTCTGAGACTGTTTGGGGGGAAATAGTGCAGTCCATCCCAAGAGAGGGAAAGTGATTGGCCTAGCGCAGTGAGCAGTCAATAGGGAAAGCCTAGTCATCACTGACACAAGCCAAGTTACAGGGGGCCTGAAGTAACAATAACCCATTCCAAAGCCAAAAAGGAATCTTCCCTTTTATAAATGGGATTTATTGCTTAATGGTGAGGGTAAACTTGACACAAATCTAATAGCGACTTGACTGACTACACCTCCTTGGTAAACACAGTTCAAGCAGAATAGTCACAGAGCCCTAATTCTGAAAAGAGACATTCCTGTGACCATAGTGGGCCTCTGCTGGCATTACCCAGCACAACTTGAAAATGGAGTGATTTTGTTCATTCAAGTTCTACAATAATCACCCTGCAATACAACATTATTCTTAATCATCACTTAGCATCTACAGCATGCTAGGTGCCTTTCAGACAAATAAAATAGACAAAGAGGCAAATTCTTCTCTCAGTCCTATCAATATAAATCGAGACCCAACAGAAATTATTAAAGTTGCTCTGGATTTACACTGGTGTTGCTGAAGGCAGATTTTGGCTTGTGGTCCCTGTCCCTAGGAGCATACAATCTAATGGTAGACATGATGCAAGTGATGGTTACGAACAAGAACAGGGAGGACAGACAGGACTAGGAAAACAGATAGGAGTTACAATAATAAGGTCACATAGTTACTTAGATGTACTACACACATCTTGCTGATTCCACTCTTTACTGTATTCCCAGACAAAAATGGCATTAAGAAGAAGTAAGATTGAGAGAATATATCAGTAATTTAGGGTAAAATATAGGGATGTTGTACTCATCGCAGATACATTCATTACTAATCCTGAAAATTCAGGATAAAGGTTAAACTTAAAGATGTCCGCACATGTTAAGGTATGAAAATATTCCGCTAGGGTATCCAAACAACCTTACCTCTGCCCCATAGTGACACCATGCAATAACCATATGGTTGTGATTAAGGCATTCAGTGTTGATGGTCTAAAATTAGATTAAATTAATTTTTAAAGACATATGATTTTTTTTCTTTTCCTTTCCCTCATGGTGTCACTACAGAGAATACTACTATGAGAAAACAATGAAAATGTATGTGAATAATGTTGATGCTTTTATTCACCCAGCACTGAGTTGTGACATGTGCCTACTGCAGTTTTTTCTTAGTCTGTGGAATTCTCTAACATTAAAAAGATGTTACTTTCTTATTCAGAAAAGGGAACAAAGATTGACATTTACAGCAGTTTGAGAAAGGCCCATGAACAGATTAGTAAGGCAAATACTGAGTATGTTTCTTAAATACCTTGCCAACAGAGGACAAAATCCTATAAACCCCTAATCGTATAAATAGTCCTCACTCACATAAATAATCCCTTCGATTTCAGTTGGGAGTATTCATGTCAGTAAGGACAACTCAGAAACTAGAATTTAAATTCACTTAGATATGCTTTAACACCAAATAATTACTATATTTTGTTATAGAAGGGCCCCTCTGTAATATTTCTAAATCCTAACTTCCATTAGCTAGAATCTATTCATACCTTTTACAAGTAACTATAACAGCTGTTTCTTTTATATCCCTCACTCCCACACAATCACACATACAACACATCCCTGTTTTCTTCTGTTATCTTTCCATATGATCTCTATCAAGATAAAGTTGTTATATAATCATATGACATATTGCCTTGATTGTTAACCTTACTTTTAAAACTGCTATTGCAGCAGTTCATGTAGACATATACAATGTCTGCAGGAAGAAATGCCATCAGGTTTTGATATCTGAGTCAAGTTTCATTTGTACAGCACACAGAGTACTTATTCAAAATCTCCATAGCATTTGCTGATCTTCATAAAACAAATATGTATTTTAAAAGGCTTAACATATTGTCTAGCATTTTATAAATCCTCTTGTTTTTATCTTTTGAAGAACTAATCTCATGGAGTCTAGACTACTGAAGATTAAATTCCAATCTATTGAAATGCTTTATTGCCCCATACAAATCAGTAATAGGAAAGCCTCTTTTAAGAAGCTGGCCACAGAAGAGACTAAAATCTCCGTGCTACAGGGGATGTTTTCTTTTGTTTCTGCTTTTTTAAAAAAAACTTTGGATTTAAAAACAAACAAAAAATAACAAAATCTGTAATACTGCACTAAATAAATCAAAATCAGACAGCTTTGGGATATTTGATAGTAACTGATGTAATAAACAGACCTCGGGTCTGATCTAAAGCCCACATGGAGTCTTTCCATGGACTTAACACAGCTTTTATATTAGGCCTGTATTGGCCTAGTTTTCAAAGGTGCTGAGTACCTTCAGCTCCCATTGGCTTCCATGGGATTTGTGGGTGCTCATTACCTCTGAAAATCTGGCCACTGGTAAATCTGTTGTCATTTGTTCAACACAAAAACATTGAAGGATGGTTCATCATTTTTTCTGGGACTTTAGCAAAGAGCAGGATAAATATGTTAGATCTCTGCTACCACTGGGCCTATGTCCGAAGTTTCATGATTTACACCATTTAGTGCTGCCAAATCCTTTGTTTAACCGACCACTTGTTGAATGTGGTATGACAAAGTTGCAAACAACTCAATCTGAGTGTTGTTATTCGTTCTAAGGGCTGCATGGTACGACACAATCACAAAAATTAGCGAGTATCCTAGTGGTGCATTACATTGAATCAGAAGAACATATAAATCAGGAAATGAGACATATATACTATTATATACAAGGATATACAATATAGTGTATAATACATAATAATTATTTTAAGTATAGAGGGGACTAAACCAAAATTTAGATCAGGAGATTCTGGAGCTTTGAAGGAATTCAGAATCTGAACTAGGCTCTGGCTAGAAATATTGTGGCTAGCACTTACTCTTTTAATGGGAAAGCCTAATCTCTGAACCCAAATACTCCTGGACATTTTCAGAGCTTAAAGGGGGGAGATCCCCCAGGGGTCGCAGATCTGGCAATAACAATAGTAATAATAATCAAGCAAGGTCACCGAAGGGTGCACTTTAAGCACTTTTTTAACAAAAATGCTGCTCCCAGATTATGATAGACTCCCTTCCCCGCTCCCTCCCACATACATTTTTTCAGGCCACTTTCAGCACTGCTTTAAGGCATCTGAAATCCAGATAGAATTTGAATTTTTCAGTTTGAACCCCTCTCTAATACTAACAAATACTAGCAGCAGCAGGTAGTCAGGACTGCAGGGTCCCCTTTCTGTAGCTGCCATGCTTTGTCAGAGAGCCTTCATAAAGGAGCAATAAATATAGATTTGAGAGAAGATAAGTGACCCTGGGCTGTGTGGCTTTCACATAGACCTTTAAAGGCTAGGAACATTACTAATTTGCGCTTTTAAATATATAGGTCAATGTTTGCTGACTTGGGTGCCTAAAGTTTGGCAAGTAAATAAAAGTGGCCTGATTTGCAGAGTTGCTGCACAACCACAGCTCCCATTTTCCTCTCTAGGAGCAGTGGTTGCTCAGCATCTCTGCAAATCAGGCCCTTTGAATTAGGTGCCTAAATATGGATTTAGGTACCCAATTTCAAGCACCAAATTTGGCAAGTTTGGCCAGAATCTCACTGATTAAAATGCAATATAAAGAAACCTTACCTGTGTATAGAAATAAAAGTAACAGAAAGACGGCTTTGCTAATCCCCATTTTGGGACAGGCTGGCTCTGTGCTGAAAGCTGTGTTAATGCTGTGTCAGTTTTATTGACTCACAGTCGACTTAGACAGCATCAAACAAACAAGATAGTCAAATTAAGTTAATCATTCTCCCTGTTCTGTGACCCACTCTGCCACGATCTAAATGTTCAAACATTACCTTGAATTCAGGATCTTACAAAATAATGTTTAAATGTTTGTATTAGATGCTGGGAAAAGATGAAAGCACTCTCCTCTCATACAGGGCATGCTTTAGCTCTGAAATTGTTAGGTCTCGTTTTGCTAACCTAAAGGCAGGGAGAGCATTACTGAAAAAATACAAAAAACAACGAGGAGTCCTTGTGGCACCTAGAGACTAACACATTTATTTGGGCATAAGCTTTTGTGGGCTAAAACCCACTTCATCAGATGCATGGCATGAAAAATACAGAAAGCAGTATAAATATTACAGCACATGAAAAGATGGTAGTTGCCTTACCAAGTTGTGGTGTTTAGATGCTGCATGTGATTATTAGAACTGGGAGCACTGGCTGTTGGGAGTCTGAAAGGACAGGAAACAGGAAGGAGGGGGGAGGAGTTGAGGAGGCTGAGTGAGAGTTACAGAGTGTGCAGCTACAGCTTGGTAAAGAGATTTCCACTGTAAATAAAGTTCTGTTGAAGTTTGTTAATACCTTGCCTGGTGGATACAACACAAGTGGGGGTCAGTGCTAAGGAGCCTAATTCAATTAAGGTGGAAGTGTCCTAGTATCAGCAGTTGACAAGAAGGGGTGAATATCAAAGGAGGAAGTTACTTTTGTAGTGCTAACGAGGCCAATGCAATCAAAGTGGACATTGTCCATTTCCAACAGCTGACAAGAAGGCGTGAGTCTCAGCAGAGGGGAAAATTACTTTTTGCCACTGAGCAGAATGCAAATAACTGCTATTCTGTGTCTTCAATGCCAAGGCCCTGATGCTAATCTCAGTTACAATGTTGTATTGGCATAAATGCAGCTATGCCTAATTTATACCAGTGTAAGCGAGAAGAAAATCAGGCGCAAATAATGTTAACTGGGTTATATTGTCATTCTACAGTTTCATCAAAGAAATCCCTCTCTCATTGTTTTTGCATTTTAGACACACCTTAGGATTGGGTTTTGTTGTTGATGTTTACTTACGGAGAAGGGTTTGTGGATTTTTGTTTTATTTTAATTCCTAACAATGTCTAACATGCCAGTAACCACCATTGACCTTAGGTCTATGAGATCTATGTGGCTACAGTTGGGCTCCTCCTTTCCACAGACATAGCCACACCCACACAAAATCTTCTAGCCAGCCTGCCACACCCCTATGCTCACCCATGTTCCAGACTGATTTCAACACTAGCAGAGATTCACTAAATGTCCTAAATGCCCTCTCTCTTGGAAAAATTGCACTTCAGCATTGGTTCGTAGCCTTCCAGACTACGTTGGGTTGGTGGGGGAGCCTCCCCTCAAGCTGTGGAGTCAAATATGCAAGTAACTCAGGAGAGCCTGAGGGGGAGGGAGCTCCAAACTGTCTAAAGATGGGAGAGGGTGTAAATAAATTAAGGAAGGGGGAGCTGGATGGGACTCCACATGAGTTACTCTGCATAGAGTCCTATAAAACCTAGAGCTGTTCCTATCTGTAGCTCTGTGAAGCACTCATTTTCTCAACAGGCTCCTTTAATACCCTGCTATCGAACTTCCTGCTGCAGTGGAAATTATTCTGCTAGGCCCTTTGTGAAGCACTGCAGAGAGCAGGATCCCATAAGATGCTCCAGAGAACCCTGGTAGCAGACTAGAGAAACGTGATTTTCATTAACAGCAGGGATTAGTCCTATTGGAAGAGAAGAGGAGTTGTGCATGAGGTGGAAATCAGTTCAGGGAGGTAGCTGATAATTGAAGGAGGGAAGGATTTACTGTTCTTACAGACTGGGAAAAAACAGCTGGGTCAAAGAAGAGAGAGGGATAAGTAAAGGGCCGGCTGTTCTTCAGTTGACAGTGTGTGATGGTTTTAGGACCAGGCTTGAGGCAGTATTATTTCCAGGAAAAAAAGCAGAAAGCGAAGAACAGAAACTACCATAAACTTCAATAGCGGACAAACTTCTGGGAGCTACTGAGACCTTTTGACTTAGTCCTGAACTCCAGGGACCTCCCTGCCACCTCCTAAAATATCTGTCATTTCCTCCCACCCACATGGCTACCTTTAAACCTGCACAAGGCCCAGCATGTCTATTAGTCTGTCCTTTCAAAGTTCCTAGCACTCTGGAGGTTAATCCTTAGTTGAGCCTCAGCTAGTTCAGGAGGTTGTGTGTCTAGTGGCTAGGACGCTCCTGGGCTCTATTGCTAGCTCTGCCACTGTGATTTTGGGCAAGTTACTTTAACCTCTCTGTACCTCAATTTCCCTATCTGGTATAGAAGTTACCTCAGAGGGTACTGAGAGGCCCAATTTACTTAGCATTTAAAGCTCTTTGATTCAAAAATAAACCCTGACTTTAGGGATTCATTTTAGTATTTTCAAAGATGCAGGCCCTTTTGTGAGTTCCGAAAACTGTATTGGACAATTTTTAAACAAATTAACTCAAATGCTACTGAAATTAAAGTATCCCTGGCACTGATGGATGCCAGCCAGGATCAACAGGCGTCTCATGTTAATAATGTGGGAAACAGGGTGAGCTCACTCAAGTACTGGGGACAGATTAACTTTAAAAAGGTGGACAACAAAAATGAGATTTTTGACCATATCATGACATTCAGACTGTAAAGCAATAAATCATTGGAATACCACAGGGGAGAATGCTGGAAAATCAAGAGCCGGCTGCTTGTCTGTGGGTTGTAGAATTTCCAGATGGAATGGAATGCAGAGATCTTGTCGGCTTTTTAAGTGTGTGGATGGATAACTGAAGTTGTGGGTGCTGAAAACTGAAGAACAGGTTTAAATTGAAAGAGTCTGCAGATTCCCTATCAAAAGAATAGAACATAATTCCACTAATAATAGAAATTCAAGAATTGTAATGGTCTCTCTGCACTGAGAGATCAGGACAGAATCCTAACTGCAGCCAGGAACAAGCAGATCTGCTGTACTGTACTTCCAAAGTGAAATATGTTAAACTGAATTAAGGCCACTTTAATTCTGAATGAGCATGTTCACACAGGGGTTTAATGCAGTTTAACTAATTCACTTATCATTCGGATTAATTTTCCTGAGTGTCCCCATATAGACAAGACAGACATATTGGGGGAAAAAATCACATTACATGGCAAACAATGTCTGCAAGGTAACTTGTAAACAAGATCAAAATGACTTCTAGCTTTGGCAGCAATGAATTGGACTGAAGTTCTCAAGTAACTGTTAAATTTGTTTAGTTTTCTGTAAACCATTTGAGTGTATCGAATATAAGGGTTTGTAGAAACTTTTTACTAGAGCCGGGTGAAATTATTCAGCCAAAACTTGTTTCTGGCAAAAAATGCAAATTTGGTGAAACTGGTTCTACCTCACTTACACTGGTATAATTCTCTGTCCATTTCTGATCTGGTAGTGTTTGCTCTTCTTTGTTTGATATCCTCAGAGGCCTGCCTGAGGGCAGGTGTTTATCAGAGTTTAAATCAGAGTTGGGGGACTTCAGTTAGCACAGTGGTTAAAATATAATCAGTTGTAGATCGCTTTTTAAATAAAAGTTGACCCTTGAAATTCAGTTTACTGTAAAATGAAAAAAAGAGTGACCACGGAGTCAACATATGCCATTTGCGCTAGTGTATACATTTATTTTCCTTTAGTTTCCTTAATCTTTAGCACCACAACATGTTAGAGAAAGCCACAAATGTGTCAATTATAACCTAAAGGGAAAAAAAGGGGAAGGTGCTTGAGGACAAGATTCAATTGCGCTGAGGTAGCCACTCCAAATTTAAGAGAATTAAAGGAAGAAGACAGAGGTCAGGACTAGATGAGGAGAGTGAGTGGGGGTAGAGTATGTTGGTGTTAAATCTATGTGGTAGGATGGCACAGGTCCATGGGTAATACTGGAAACAAAGAAGACAAGCCAGCGTAAATGATGAAATTGAAAATGACATAGTACTGCTTCATAGAGTGAAAGAGTAGTCTGGCCATAGAATTCAGGATCACCTAAAGTTGAGAGAAGAAGGAGTTGCTGTAGTTGAGGTGGGAAGTAATTAAGGCATGAATAAAGGTTATAACTTGCAGCCCAGGCTAGGGTCAGGGACAGGACAAATTCTGGCATTGTTCCAGACGTGGTGATACACAGATTTAAAGGGGGAAGTGAGAGGAAAAAATAATTTGGGGGTTAGGATGTCTCCAAGATTTCTGACCTTGGAAACAAAAATATCTGAATGAAGGAAAGTGATAGTAATCAGAGAGATGGGACAAACAGGACACTTTTCCAGTAGAAAGACTTCAGTATTGAAACAATTACTGGAACAATCTATTGCTAATTATACTCAGGAACAGATAGATTCAAGACAGGTAGATACATGTCCCTCACAAAGTGAGCTTGATGGAGATCTGTAGGGAAAAGATAACCAGAGCAGAGCTAGCCATGAGATATCCATGGAATAGAAGGGCAAGTTGGCGGGAGAGAGAGAAAAATCTCCCATTGACTTCACTGGAGCAGGATCAAGCCCTAGAAGAGTGTGAATCCCAAAGAGAGTCTGGCAGCAGTCTTCAGTGGAAAAAATAAAGAGAAAATATAAAGCCCCCACTAAGACTGAAAACTAAGTAGTTAGAGAGGTAATATGTCAGTAATAAGATCTAATTCAGCAGCAGTTTGCATTCTGAATTCAGTGTACTAAACTTTATAGGTAGTGGAGAGTCATCAATCAAATATGGCCTTGCTTGTTAAGGGAGATTATGAGACAATAATACTTCTGATTTCCTATACTGAATAATATAGAGAAATTATGGCAATACCACAGGCCTGAATTAGGGAATAGTGCATAGCACAACTGCCCTATAGGGATCTTGGAGAGGGATTGTACTTCAGAGAAGCACAATCCCTCCCCATGTGGCTCAGCATACACAAGGGGACCACCT